TATCTATCTGTTATTCAATAATAAAGGTTGCGCAGATTCATTCTAGGACGTGGTCCAAAGGTGAGCTGAACATTGTTCGATAGAGCTCATCGAGGCGTATCCAGACGTATCCTCTAACGACCTTCATCTAAAGAAAAACATTACAGAGTTTTCCAAAGATCCTTTATCTCTGTGCCATTCAGGAATAAACGTTCCGCAGATTCATTGTAGGACTTGGTCCAAAGCTGAACTGAAGATTGTTCGGTCGAGCTCATCGAGACGCATGCAGATGTGCCCTCTAACGACCATCATCTCAACAAGGACATTACAAAGAGTTTCAAAGATCCTTTATCTCTGTGCTGTTCAGGAATAAAAGTTCCGCAGATTCATTGTGGGACTTGGTCCAAAGTTGAACTGAACATAGCTTTGGAAAAAATTTGGGGAGTTTTTAGAATCTTTTGGGCGGGGTTTCGAAAAATTCTGGCGAGTGCTCGGGACGAGTGTGACGACCGATTGGAAAGAACAATATATTTTCCAGGATTTGAGGGTGACGCCCCCCCGCTCGCGATTGCCCTGCAACTGACCATCCTTATCTTTCTCTCCCCGTTCGTGTGCATCATCTGCTAGGGAGAGATGATGTGTGATTAGTCCGGCGCGACCGATCACGGTATGTGATGGGTAATACCGGGTTTGGTCACAGACAGAACAAGCGAATTATAGTTGAAATTATTTTCGAGCCTTCGCTACATCCCTCCAAGGCTTTTAAAGTTTGCTTGGGCATTGAATCTCAATCATACCATTGATCAAATTATGAAATACAAAAAATATTTGAAGTAACCCTGTTCAGTGATTCGTTAAGTTTTGCAAAGAGAAAAATATGTTGCTGTTTCTCTTTATACAAATAACTGGATATGCAAAAAATAGAGAACGAAGTTTATGCTTACTCTTTCTCTTCTCTTGCTTTCGTTTCATATCAAGAAAGAGACATCGGTGAATGTTTATACTATTCAAAAATTTCAAAAAATGTCCCAATCATGTGTGAACGAATATTAAGTACACAATGCTATTATTGTGATCAGATATTACTTGCCAAAAACATTTGATTGAACATAATGATTTTCGCAATGCTCAATTGAATTCGTTCACTATCAAGTTGAAAAACTTGATTATGAACTGTGATGACATCCAACGTTGAATAAGTGATCGGAAAATGTCGTCAAAAGCTAAAACCATGGCTTGACGATTTTCACAAGTCGATTTATAACTTTTTCGAACAATAGTGCCGAGAACTTGATTGATGCATTGTTGAAAATTGCTTTTTAATAAATAATACGAAACACGTTGGCGAGTTGAACTCTGCTTTTCTTTAATTCTTCTAGGTAGACTATCAATTCTAAATGTTTTAGAATTATCCGTTAATCCTTCGTCAAATTATAAGATGTTCTTTCCGACAGTACTTTGGGTTCAGCCTGTTTACAGCATTTATACATAAGCGTTGTCCTTTGCAAAAATCTCTAAGCTGTGACTTTTTCTGTAAAATGCGTTTATATTGTTTCGAAAGAGTTTTATTTTAAGCAAGCACCATTAGCGTGGCCGCTGTCGGCCGCAAAAGTATCGAGAAACTCTTAAATTCCATATGAGGATATTTTGTCTAAAAAGCTGCATGGCAAAGTGAAGCTTTTTTAAAAATAGTTGCAAAAAGTTTTGCCTACGTGGAAAATTATGATATTATAGAGTGTAGGAAAAATGTTGACCCACAATATTGGTCACGTCGGGACACCTCTCAATCCACTTCTACACCATCAAACGACATGAAGAAAAGAGAGAAACATCACATCATATAATGATTTGATAAAATATAAAAGAAATAAGATAAGCAGGAAAAATAAGATCAATAGGAGAATTATGAAATTTAGAGATAATAGAAAAGAGTCCAAAAAAAAGAACGGAAAACATGTCGATCAGTTCTTATTGGCAGAATGTTTTGTTGATATAACCACTGTCCAGCAATTTGAACGAGTAACCAGTTGCACCATTCATTTTTTTACCCTCAAAATAAGCACTGGAACTGTCTTTGCCATAACCACCCCCAAGTGAAATGAACGAATAACCAGTTGCACCATCAATTTTTTTACCTTCAAAATAAGCACTGGAACTGTCTTTGGCATAACCATCCCCAAATGAAGTGAACGAATAACCAGTTGCACCATCAACTTTTTTATCCATAAAATAAATGCTTGAAGTGTCTTTGCCGTAACCACCTCCAAGTGAAGTGAACGAGTAACCACTTGCACCGCTAATCTTGTTACCCATAAAATAAGCACTTGAACTATCTTGGCCGTAACCGCCCCCAAGTGAAGTGAACGAGTAACCACTTGCACCATCAATTTTTGTACCCTCAAAATAAGCATTTGAACTATCCTTGCCGTAACCACCTCCAAGTGCAGTGAACGAATAACTACTTGCACCGTCAATTTTTTTACCCTTAAAATAAGCACTTGAACTATCCTTACCGTAACCACCCCCAAGTGAAGTAAACGAGGAAGC